TAGGAGAGACTAAGCTTTCCCTGTTGGATATTCTGGGCTCTTTTATCGATTGTTAGTTGACTGTATCTGTGTGGGTTTATTTCTGAACTCTTGATTCTATTCCTTTGGTATATGTTTCAGTTTTTATGACAGTACCATATTGCTCTGACTAATATAGCTTTACAGTATAGTCTGAAATCAGTGATGTTTGACCTTGGACAATATGCCTAGTTTTTGCCTTAACCTGTGCCACAGATTCCTCATTTGAAAAATGGGCATAATGATTGCACATAACTCATGAGGTGGTTGTGTGAAGATGTGAGGTGTGTGTGTTGCTTGGAACGTTGCCTGGTACAAGGTAAGTTCTGTGTTACTGTTCACTATTATTATTACGTGCCAAGCTGAGGAGTTGACTTTATCCTTTGGATGACAGGAAGTCATGGAGAGATTCCAACAAGGGCGTGGCATGATCTGAAAGCAATCTCCTCCTTCACCCAAGACCAGGTTGGAATCTGAGAATCAGATAAAATTGCTAGAAAAAGAAAGTGCTAAATTATCGCCAAGAGGTCTGAGAAGGAGGAGAGTTAAAAGGCCTTGGGAATTGGCTGCTAGGTTGCTGGTCAGCTTTGAGAGAGTTTCCAGAGAGTGATGGGTTGGAAGGTGGAGTACATGGGGTTCGGAAAGCGTGGATGGTGAGACAATAGAGGCCTGTGCTTCTGCTCTTTGAATATTTTGGCTGTATGGGGTAAGAGAGAGGATGGTCATTTAACCGGTTGCAGGGTAGCATGGTCTTCAGGAGGAGGAAAGACAAAAGAAGCAGCACAGAGGAAAGTATAGAGACACGTAGAGCAGAGGTACCCTTAAAGGACCTGGAACCCCCTGAAATGAGAGGCAAAATGTTGGGTCTGAAGTAGTGTCCAGGCCATTGGTTTGGATGTGAGGAGGATGGAGGTTGAGCTGATCTGGATTTTGGCGGGGAGGCAAGACGTGAGCTCAGCTATGGAAGGAGAGCCAGATGAACATTAGGTTGGGAAGCTGAGAAGGTTAGAAAAGATTTGGAACAGATGTTGTTGGGGAAACATAAGGGAGGGTCAAATAGGGACAAACAGAAGGTGTCCTTGCATCGGTGAAAGTCCAGCTGAGATGGGGTATCATTGATTTGTTGTAGAAATAACTAGTTTGTTTCCTGGCCTTTCTCCTGCGCCACTTGGCAGCTGGCAATTAGAGAATGTGGATGGTAAAGGTTTTGGGGTACCAGTAAAGCACCCTTAAAATGACCGGCCATGGGACCCAGGTTGGATAAGGAGATAAATGAGCCATGAGAGGACTGCAATAATAGAGAGAGCCTGAGGAGAGGGGAGGGGCACAGTGGGAGGAAAGAGACAGGGAGAGGCGAGGAAGGAGGGGAAGGGCCCTGAAGATACGAGGGGGCTGTGGTTGGGGAGGGCAGTTTCAGCTTTCAAGATCTTTGTGGGAGAGCAGCTTCAACAATGATGAAGACCACGATGGGAGTCAGGCCTGAAGTAAATAGTAGAAGACCTTAACTTACGCATTGCGATGAGGAAGGTGTTTTCTAGGTTCATCTTCAAAACTCCTTAAAGAAAATTAACCAGGCACTGCCATGTGGATGAGAAGGAAAGAGACTGACAGTGTAGTGTAAGAAAGCCAAATCCTCATTTACCATAGCAGGCAGTCAATCGAGAATGTCTACAATTGATAAATCAAGACATAGCAGTGTGAGTATATAAACTTCCTGGGTCAAAGGCAGAAACCAAAGTGATTGCACAGCTTTTGCAGATGAATGGTTGTAAAACTGAGCCGGCCACTTTGGGTTTGATATTTGAAATAGTCAAGGCATCTTGAGGTATTAGATTCATGTTCAGGTCTGGCCCATGTTTGGGGTTCTGCCTGGCCTGGCACATCTCTTCTGCACAGGTTGTTTTCTTGCTGCTGCATATGCGATGGGTGGATAGTAATACCCACAGAGGCTGTGGGGTCCGAGCTTCTCCCTAATGGGGGAAATGGATTTTCATCTTTTTTTTTTTTTTTAAGGAAGAGTAGCCCTGAGCTAACTACCGCCAGTCCTCTTCTTTTTGCTGAGGAGGACTGGCCCTGAGCTAACATCCATGCCCATCTTCTCTACTTTATACGTGGGATGCCTACTACAGCATGGCGTCCCAAGCAGTGCCATGTCCCCACTGAGGATGTGAACCCGGTGAACCCTGGGTCGCTGAGAAGCGGAATGTGCACACTTAACCGCTGTGCCACCCGACCGGCCCCTGGATTTTCATCTTCGACTGGCATCAGGAAATTACCCTTTTAGTCACTATACAGGCAGGATGAAGGCCTGACTGTTACTCCAGTGCACCAGAGAATGCCTTTTGGGCAGAACAGAGGCAGCTGGCTAGAGGACACAGGGCTCTCAGATTGGAGAGAGGCAGAAAGCTTGGGGGTTGGGAGAGAGAATGGGGAGGTGGAGGGAGAGGGGGAAAATGAGAAAAAGAGAGGAGGAGGGAGGGAGCTTTAAATGTTTCTATCCACTATTTTCTAGCCCTTACTGGCTTTTCCTCCGGTTTTACTCCCCTACACCCTTGGTGGTTCTGGGGTGGGTCTCCTCACTAACAGGCAATTCTCCCTAACACCACCTGGGTGTCCTGTAATTCAACTCAATTCTGACACTTCCTCCCAGGAGACGGCATCGGATTAACAGGTTAAGGGTTCAGCCCTACAAGACTACCCCATTCCTCCCTGAGTTCAGATGCCAGTTGCAAACCCACGTTATTACCTGTGCTTCTGACTGACTGGCTATAGATTGGAGTTTCCAATGACCTCTTCCTTGGGTTTGATTAATTTGCTAGAGCAGCTCACAGAACTTAGAGAAACATTTTACTTACTAGATGACTGGTTTATTGTAAAAGGATAAAACTCAGGAACAGTCAGATGGAAGAGATGCAAAGGGCAAGGTATGGGGAAAGGGTGCGGAGGTTCTGTGCCCTCTCTGAGCGTGCCCCTCTCCCTGAATCTCTCTGTGTTCACCAACCCGGAAGCTCTCTGAACCCTGTCCTTTTAGGGTTTATGGAGGCTTCATTACATAGGCATGATTGATATAAGTCAGTGGCCATTTGTGATTGACCTCAATCTGCAGCCCCTGTCCTCTCTCCAGAGGTCTGGGAGTGGGACTGAAAGTTCCAACCAGTTCTGCCCAGTGTGGGACTCCACTGGGCAGTCTTTGCTCGAGGACACTCCGTCGGCCTGGCTGAGACTTTCTCAGGCTGTACTGCAGTCTAAGGATCTTTCTCTCAAATCCCCCTTCCTCCTCGTTCTTCTTTCAGAGGTGTCAGGGCTGCATTACCACCTGTTTCTGTACGCTCCCGCTTCATGCTCTATAGCGTTTCCCCCAGTGAGTCTCTTGCATGTCTGATTCTGTCTTGGCATCTGAGGTGACACACAGGGACATGACGGGACCTCCCTTATAGGGCTGTGTTGTGAGAATTCAATAAGTAAATATAGGCAAAATGCTTAGAACAGGGCCTGATAAGCAGCAAGTGCTATACAAGTGTTAGCTGTTATTATTCTTACTTTATTATCCTTTAGATCTCAGCTTACATTTTACTCTCTCTAGGAAACTTCTCAGATCTCCTAAACTGACTTGGAAGCCTCTCCTGAGTGCTCCAACAGCATCCTCCTCTCATTTCCATTATATTGCATCGTTTTCTTGTCAGTCTTCACACTTAGACTGTGAGTTCAGTGAATAACGGAACCTTGTTTTGGTCACTGTTGTTTATCAGTGCCTAACATTGTCTGACTCACAGTCATCTACTCATAGTAGATGATGAGCTGATGTTTGTTGAATGGAAATGGTGATTCAGTGGAGTGGTAACAGATGAGCGTTATTTGGCAAATGAATGAGAACAGGCAAAGAAGGAATTGTAGAGAATTGTGTACCGAGGCATGAAAAGCCTATGCTGTGCGGGGCACGGAAAGGTGCTTGTTATGTCTGAAGAGTGGGTGCAAAAGAGAGAGTGGTAAAAGAGAAGGCTAAGGAAGAAGTCAAGGGCCAGAGCCCCAGAAGGCCTTAACGCCAAGCTAATGCGGGTATCGGAGTGTCGGCTCTATGATGTCCTAGTGGGCCTGCACCCATCTTTGACCTCTACTCGTGCCTTCATGAATCACGTGTTAGTTCACCCAGCACCTGTAGATTGCCAGAAAGTGGTGGATGTTCCCCCAGAACTACGTATAGAAATGTAGGCATCTCTAAACACTCATTTCATCGATGCGTCTGATTAGTCTCTATTTACAAACTGCTTTGGCTACAATATCTCACCCAAACTGTTGGGTCTCCTAGCTGATCTCTGCTTTCATCACAGCCCTGTTTAATCTATCCTCCACTCCCACTGTGAGACAGATCTTTCTAAAGCTAAATCTGGCCATCTTACTCTTCAATTTACTACCTTCTATATCGCACACTCTGGTTGCCCACAGGATAACGTCCAGATCCTTAGTGTGGCCCACAAGACCCTTCATGGTCTGGCCCTTCACTACCTCATGTCTCATCTCTTCCTCTGTGTGCTCTGTACTGCAGCATGCTGAACCGCTTGTGGGTATCAGGAATTTTATACTGCTCACCCCTCCATTCACGTAGCCATGGGTGCTTCCTGGAATGTCCTTTCATCCTTGTCCGCTTTTTGAACACTTACCTATCCTGTAGGAAGTAGTTCCAAAATCACTGCCTATGTGAAGCCGTTTCTAACTTTGCAGGCAGTGGGTCATCCTCCTTTGCAGCCTCGTTAGACTGTGTGTCTACTTCTGTTCTGGCGCCCACCACACTGCATTGCATTTGTTTGGTTACCTCCCTGACTCCCCTCTCCACACTGTGAGAGTCCTTGAGGGGAGGACGATGTGTTAGTTACTACCGAGTCTCCAGCACCTAATGCGATGCCTGGCATGTAGTAAATACTCAATAGATACTGCTTAAGGCAAAAAGGAAGAAATAAAATGAAAGCTGTTCTCTTTCTTTGAAGGGGAAGGTGGTACCCTCACAATGTGGCTGTACCTGGCTGCCCTCGTGGGCCTGTACTACCTCCTGCGCTGGTACCGGGAGAGGCAGGTGGTGAGCAACCTCCGAGACAAGTACGTCTTCATCACGGGCTGTGACTCAGGCTTTGGGAACCAGCTGGCCAGGCAGCTGGACTTGCGAGGCTTGAGGGTGCTGGGGGCATGTCTGACGGAGAAGGGGGCGGAGCAGCTGAGAGACCGGACGTCAGACAGGCTGGAGACGGTGATCCTGGATGTTACCAAGACGGAGAGCATTGCTGCAGCCACCCAGTGGGTGAAGGAGCGTGTGGGGGACAGAGGTATGTTGAAATATTTTCTCCTTTCATTTACTTAGGTGAGAAGATGTTAAAGTTTATGTATTCATATAAATATATAAATAAATATATATATCTGAAAAGCAAGACTTAAAAGGCTGGCCTTGTCATTTGAAAGGCAGTCATGATCCTCTGCAATGTATCATTTCCCTAACGATGTTTACATTGAAAAATGAGCCTATAGATTGGAGCCTATCTCACCTTGCAAATGGAGTATCTACAATCAGAATTCTTTATGTTTGAAGAATTTTCAAGATGTTCTTTAGAAACTGCTGCTTCTTCCCTTGGCTACCATTTAAAATATAGGCGTTCCTTGAAGTCAGCCTTTGGTCTGCTTCTTTTTTAAAAGTTCTTTTCACTTTCTATCAAAATTTTCTGATTAATAGACTATTTCTTAGAGCAGTTACAGGTTTACAGAAAAATTGAACAGAAAGTACAGAGTTCCCATATCCAGCCCCCCTTACAGTTTCTCCTATTATTAATATCTTGCATTGGTGTGGTTCATTTGTTACAATCGATGAACCAACATTGATATGTCCTTACTCACTAAGTCTATAGTTTACGTTAGGGTCCACTTTGTGTTATATGTTCTATGGGTTTTGCCAAATGTGAAATATCCTGTATCCACCATTATAGTATGATGTAGAATAATTTTACTGCCCTAGAAATCCCTGTGCTCCACTATTCATCATCTCCTCCCTCTCCCCACCCCGAAGCCTGGCAGCCACTGATCTTTTTACTGTCTGCATAGCTTTCTCTTTTGCCGAATGTCATATAGTCATTGGAATCATATTGTATATTGCCTTTTAGACTGGCTCATTTCATTTAGCAATAGGCATTTAAGATTCCACTGTGTCTTTCTGATAGCTCATTTCTTTTTATTGCTGAATAATATTCCATTGTATGTATGTTTAGCTGTTTATCTGTTGAAGGACATCTTGGTTGTTTTCAATTTTTGGCAATTATGGATAAATCTTCTTCTCAGAGTTCCATTTTCTCTGGATATTATTCAAGTCCTCTTTGATCCTCTTCTCCCTTCCTCTTATTTTATGACTTAATAGATTGTGTTAATTGGACCTCCCAAATATCTCTTCACCCCAGGAATTGCAAACTCGCAATAAAACCGTTTTCTTTGAGTTGCAGAATGTTTAGTTTTTTAAAAATTTATTTTAAATTTGAAAATTGATTGAAAAGTTACTTTAAAATATCACTTCCTATCTCAGGATATACCCCAGCCAGAGTCAGGAATTGCGTGTAGTTGTGACCTCTGTGCTGTGCATAGCAGTTTATTTGTGTTGTACTGTTGTGGTTAGTCTTGTTGTTATTATTTTCCATCTGTGAGGGTGTGAGCTCCTTGATGATGTGGGCATTTCCTACTCACTGTTGCATTTCCACTGTCTGACATATTGCCCGGTACAGGTTAAGGGCTCAACCAATGCTGAATGGATCCCTCTCCTCATAGTTTTATTCATTACCTTTGTGCCCTTGATTTCTAAATTCTCTCTTGCTCCTCACACCTCAATTTCCAACTGCTTGCTGGATTCCTCATCTGGAAATCCTGCTGGTGCCTCAAACTCCCCAGATCTAAAGGAGGACTCTAGGTTCCTACCTCCTCGTCACCAAATCTGCTTTTCTTTTGGTCCTTCTCTCACTGTGGTCTCTTACTATCCCTTTAGTTACGAAGACTCGCTGCCTCAGAGCCTTTTCCATCCTTGTGCTTTCAACCTTTCCATATCCCCATATTTTATAGATTCTGGTAAATAGCATATCGCTAGATATAAAAAATAACCCATTTCTTTAGCTAGAACATTCATTCATCTACATTTATTTAATTATTGATATGTTTAGATTTGTTTCTGCTCCCTTATTTTGTGCTTTTTATTTTTCCCATTTTTTCTGCTCCTTTTTCCTCTTTTGAATTGATTGATTTTTTTATTCCATCTTTTTCATTACTAAATGGAAAGTAATACATTCTTTTTCTATTTCTCTAGTAGTTACTTTAGACATGTTAACTGCATACTTGATCTATCCAGTGTGAAATTATTATCCTTGCCTTCTCCTGATTAATCCTAGACCCTCAGAACGCTCCAATGACTGTCCTGACATATATGCTATTGCTGTTGCGTATTTTGGGTCTATTTTTTGGCCCCATAATATGTGATATTTGTTTAGATTTTCCCCCTATTTACCATTCTTTTTGCTTATCTTTCCTTCTTGAATCTCCCATCTAAAATTACTTTCCTCTTGACTGAATATATTTTTTAGAATTTAGAAGGTGTAGGGGGCAAATTCTCTCTCTCTTTTTACATTTCTTAAAATGTCTTTATTTTTCCCTCATTTGTGAAAGATATTTTTGCCACATAAGCATTTGTAAGTTTTCAGTTATTTTCTCTCAGCACAGTGAAGATGTTGTTCCACCGTCTTCTGGCTCCTGTGGCTTCTGTTGATTAGTGAGTTGTCCGCCTAATTCTTTTACCTTTGACAATAATCTGTCTGTTCTTTCTGACTATTTAAGGATATTCTCTTTCTTTGAAATTACTAAGGATTTATTTCAGTGTGTCTAGATGTGGATTTCTTTATTTATACTGCTTGGTATATTTTTGGCTTCTTGAATCTATGATTAGGGTCCTTCATCAATTCTGGGAAATTCTCAGCTATTGGCCTGACATCAAGATTCCCCACAGAGGATCTACAGTTGCTTCTCTCAGGTGCCAGGGGCACTGAGAAGCCGTGGTCACCTTCAACTTAATTCTTGTCTTGAAGAGTTTTGGAGCACCCAGAGAGTGTGAACCTGGGCTGCGAACCCTCCGGACGGATGACTTGTGGGTCTGATTCCTCAGGGATGATTCTGCCGCCTTCATCCAACATCAAAGTTCAAGACGGACAGTTTTACTTTCAGTCCTTTGGAAGGACTTTCTATTTCACCCTTAAACTGACAGCATAGCCATTTAGGATCCCAGTTTAATGAGGAAACTGTCTTTTATTAGATTCCTCACCTTGGGTGGGGCCTGGACTTCACATCTTCTTATTGTGTACGTTTTTGAAGGTACAAGAATTGAAGTTCAAGTTCACGCTGGTTGGCAATGTCCCTCGAATCCAAAGCCTGGTGCTGTTCTATTTACCCTCTCTGGTTTCCTGCCTTCTCTTAGTTTTCAGCCTGACCTTTCTTTACTTTCTTGTTAACTGACAGATGAATTTAAAAAGATTGAAAATTATATTTTATCTAGCATTTGTAGTTGTTTTCAGCAGGAAGATTGATCTAGGGAAACAGTCTGTCATTTTTGTCGCAAACTGAACTGCTTTGACTTTTTGTTTTAGGGCTCTGGGGCCTGGTCAACAACGCAGGCGTTGTTCACTCACCTGCCTACAGTGAGTGGCTGAACATGGAGGTCTATGTCAACGTCCTCAAAGTCAACCTCCTTGGTGTCATTGAGGTGACCTTGAGCATGCTTCCCTTGGTCAGGAAAGCCCAGGGGAGGATTGTCAACGTCTCCAGCATTCTGGGAAGAATTGCTTTCTTCGGAGGTGTCTACTGCAGCTCCAAGTATGGAGTAGAAGCCTTTTCGGATGTTCTGAGGTAATCCTCTTAAGTCAAACAAAAGCATCTATTGAGCACGTAAGTGTCTTAGGCCTTGTGCTTTTCTCCTTGACGTCAGCTTGGGCTTCGTCTTCTCAGCAAGGCTGCTTGAACGTCTAGATTAGGGAGCACCCCATCACTGTCCCCAGAGCCCTAGAGTACACGTCTCACGTGGTGCACGAGGCCGTCTGACTTCGCTTGCTGAAGGCAGCGCTTAGCACAGTGCCTGGCACTCACTCACCTCCTGATAAGCGGTTTTGGAAATGCTTATTGAACGCACCTGGATATTCTGGAATGACCAATTTCTTCTAATTTTAATTCCCACATCATATTCCATTAATGGTCTCTTGTAGTCTTTGAACACAGTGTAATTTTTCACAGGCCTATGCTTTTGTGTGTGCAGTTCCCACTGCCTGAAAGTCCACTCTTTCTGTTTCTTCGTTCAGAAATTTCCTCTTTATTCTTCAAGTCTCAACTGCATTATTTTCTTCTAACTGAAGCCTTCCCTGACTCTCTAGAAAATCTGTCTGCATCCTCTGCTCTACTCCTCTAGCCCCTTGAACACTCTCCTTTATAAATCTTATGAGTTGTATTGCAATTTGCTTACTTGTCCGACTCACCCACTGTGAGCTTTTTGAGGCGAAGTCTGAGTCTTGATTTTCTTAGATTGTGCATGTAAAACACTTAGCACAGTACCTGCCACAAAAATGCTAATTTTCTTTATTATTTCTTGTATTTCATACAGTAGGTACTTAATAACTCTGTTAAAAGAGTGGATTAGAGGGCCAGCCCTGTGGCCTATTGGTTAAGTTTGGCACACTCCATTTTGGCGGCCCAGGTTCAGTTTCTGGGTGTGGACCTACACACTCGTTGGCGGCTATGCTGTGACAGTGACCCACATACAACAAACAGAGGAAGACTGGCACAGATGTTAGCTCAGGTGAATCTTCCTAGAGTAAAAAAGAGGTAGATTGGCCACAGGTGATGGCTTAGGGTGAATCTTCCTCACCAAAACAAACAAACAAAAAAGATTAAAAAAAGAATGGATGTAGAATTGAATCGTTATGGTAGTTTGTGTAATCATGTCCCAGTTGTTGGATCTAGGGATGTTTAAAATTTTATTTTTTTCTCTCCATTTCTTTATCCTTTAAAAAATTCAGTGAAAGTATTTTTATAACCTTTTTTGTTTTGTTTCTTTCCTTCCTGAGAGCATTGACATTGTGGTGTCTTTCAATTAAAGGAGTTAACTTGAGCATTTATTTTAGGCGTGAGCTTCAACATTTTGGAGTGAAAATCAGCATGGTTGAACCTGGCTTCTTCAGTACTGGAATGACAAACGTGCAGGAGTCCTTGGAGAAACTGAAGCAAACCTGGGAAGAAGTCCCCACGCATATTAAGGAGAGCTATGGACAGAAGCTTTTTGATGCCTGTAAGCTTTTCTTTTGTTAGAATGATGAGTAACCTTGCGTGAGAAGGAGAAAAGAGGGTTGGTGGACAATGACTGACAGGTCCCCTGAGAACAAAGCTCCTTAAGCAAAGCCTTCCCAGGACAGGAGGGCTTTGGGAAGGTCCCAGTGCCCTCATGGTTGGCGTGGTGATGGCTGTTGGGGCTGAGGAAGAGGCAATTTCCACAGCCTAGGGCCAGAGCCCGCCCAGCTCTGTCACCTGTGGGCCTAGTGAAGTATCCCATGGTTAGAGGCGAGGAGCCTCTGGGTCTTAGAGGGGGGTGCCCCTCCGTAGTTTGGCAGGGCTTGTGTGGGAGGCCTGCTCAACTAAAGTGCAGTCTTCAAGACTGTCTACCCTTTTGGTACAAAGGGCCTGGGCACAAATTGCACATCTTATGTGAGAGGAGGGAGGGTGTAGGTGGGGAGAGGTAAGTGGGTGAGGACCAGATTGGCCATTCCCAGAGAGCGGCCCTCACGTGCAGGCCACAGGAGCCTTGTGGTGTGAGATGGCTCGGTTCCAGGCACGAGTGTCGTTCTGACCTGGAGGAGGAGGCAGTTAGGGGTGCAGGCAAGGCAGTCTTCTTAGTAGAAGTAAGTCGTGCGGGCTGGTGTGGGGCTGCACCTTCCTGGGGGAAGGGATGCTTTTTCTTCACACAAAGAAGCCAGCCGGCCAAGGCCAAAGGGAGCGGCTCTCTGTTCCATTTCACACAAAGGCCCTGTGGCGGGTAGCAGCAGCCCTGTCACTGGCTGTGTGTGACACTGCAGTCCAGAGAAAAGGAGAAGGGGAAGGTGCACACAGAAGACCTGCAGCCCTGTCTTCTGGGTGCATCAGGCCTGAGAGGGTCGCCACCAACAGAGGGGAGGGAAATCGATCAAGGAAAGGCTGACAAGAAACTGCCTGAGCCTCTCAGAACTACAGCAAGCCGGGGAACCACAGCTCTCGACGTGCCACAGGGCCGGCCGTGGTTCTCAGCTCCTCCTCACCCAGAGTTATCAACTGTCTACTAGGGAGTGTTTCTCCCCTTGTGGGCGCATATATTTTGACAATAGAAATCAATAGGAAAATGGAATTTACTAAAAAAGTGACTATACATAAAAGGAGAGATATATGTATTTCATGATTTAAAAAGCATTGAAATTGTTCATATATTTGTCCATGGATCAGAATAATCTAGATCAGTGCTGTCCAATAGAAATATGAGAGCCACACATGTAATCTTAAATTTTCTAGTAGCCACTTTGAAAAAGGGAACAGAGTGGCTGGCCCCGTGGCCGAGTGGTTAAGTTCACACGCTCTGCTTTGGTGGCCCGGGGTGTCGCTGGTTCGGATCCTTGGCGCGGACATGGCCCCACTCATCAGGCCATGTTGAGGCGGCGTCCCACATGCCACAACTAGAAGGACCCACAACTAAGATATACAACTATGTACCGGGGTACTTTGGGGAGATAAAGCAGAAAAGTGGAAAAAAAATCAGATTGGCAACAGTTGTTAGCTCAGGTGCCAAGGAAAAAAAAAGGGAAAAGAAAGGTGAAATTAATTTTAATGATATATTTTATTTAATCCAATATATCCAAAATACTATCATTTTGACATTTATTATCAATTTAAAAGTTATTAAAAAGATATTTTGTTATTTTTCCTATTAATCTTTGAAAATTGGTGTGTATTTTACACTTATAGCACATCTTGACTTGGAGACCAAATTTTCCTAGGAAATACTTCATCTGTATTTAGATCAGTAAAAGTTATAGATGCCAGCAGCATTATTCATAATAGCCCAAAAGTGGGAACAACACTAATGTCCATCAGCTGATGAATGGGCAAACAAAATGGGATACAGCCATACAGTGGAATATTATTCGACAATAAAAAGGAATGATGTACTGATACATGCTACAACATGGATGAAACTTCAGAACAGTTTGCTCAGTGAAAGAAGCCAGTCACAAAAGACCACGATGTATTATTCCATCTATAGGAAATGTCCAGAAAAGGCAATCCATAGAGATAGTAGGAAGAGTAGTGGTTGCCTCGGGGTGCCTTGGAGTGGATGGGTGGGCAGGAAATGGAATGACTGCTAGTGGGTGTGGGATTTCTTTTCGGAATAATGATAATATTCTAAACTTAGATTGTGGCAAATGGTTGCACAACTCTGAATATGCTAAAAATCATTGATTTGTTCACTTCAAATGGCTGAATTTTATGGCATATGATTAGATCTTACTAGAGATGTTGAAAAATTTCCAGTTGAAAAAGTGGATTCACATACCTATTTTATCCCAACATACTTAAACATTTTCCAATAATAGAAGTGAATTTTAAAATGAAAAACAATAAAAAATTTGAAAATTCAGTTTTCAGTCACACTAGCTATATGTTAAGTGCTCAATGGCTAAATGTGACTAGCGGCTGTCATACTGGGAAGCACAGGTCTGATTGGCTAATCCTTGCAGAAATTAAATGTAGTTAGATTTCCGTGATCGTGTGCAACAGGATCTTAAAATAACAATATAAAGAATAAGATTGCTGACCGTTTCTCTTTTTGTATACAGATTACAATCAAATCAAACAAGGGCTGTTGGGTGCCAGCACGAACCTGAACCTGGTCACTGACTGCATGGAGCACGCTCTGACGTCTGTGCACCCCCGCACTCGGTACTCAAGCGGCTGGGATGCTCAGTTTTTCTTCATCCCTCTATCTTACTTACCTACATCTCTGGCAGACTACATCCTGACTAGGTCTTGGCCCAAACCAGCTCAGGCGGTCTGAAGAAAACTGGTCTGCTGGCTCCTGAAACAAAGAAGACAAACGTCTGATATTGATTGTTAGCATCTCAATAATCCTTATTTAGAACTGCACATTTTGTAATAACAAGCTTTCTTGCCTAAACTTATTTATCTGGTGTCATCAGGGAGCCAAGATGGTTATATTCCAGATAGCCAAAGCTTATTCCTTTAGAGATGACTCTTTCCTATTTTAATCATCTTTTGATGATGGTATTTCCAAAATGCATCATTCTTCCTTGCCTTATTAAACAGAACAGACTGAAAACAATTTAACTTGTTTTGATGTTATTTCTTTATGTAAATGAATAGCTCTTCTGTGCTGTGATAAATTATTGCTCAGGGCCTGTTGAGAAATATCCTCACTTGAAATGGATCTGTACTGTGATACTTTTAATAAATATTTTCTTTTGTTTTCTCCTCTCTATTTGGTGGCTATGTTTGAAAATGTTTCTTCTTTATTTAAAAAGAAATGATCTTTAAATCAAAATAATATGCACATACATAGTTAAAAAATCAGTGAATAGAGGAAGATTAGCCCTGAGCTAACATCTGTGCCAATCTTCCTCTATTTTTTGGTATGTGGGATGCCCCACAGCATGGCTGATGAGTGGAGTAGGTCTGCCCCCAGGATCCAAACCTGCAACCCTGGGCTGCTGAAGCAGAGCACGCAGAACTTTAATCATTCGGCCATGGGGCCAGCCCACTTGTTTACTCTTTACTCAAGTATTTTTCCTTAACTTAGGAACTTAGAAATCAAGTTTTTGTTTTCTTTTTCTTAGAGTTAATTATTGCCTTGCTTTGTTACTTGCATTGTTTTTTATTTACTTAAATTTCTTTCACCTCTCTCAGGTGTCAGAACGTGATGAGTAGTATTTTCTAGATAGTTAAATAGATTTTAGAATTACCCATTCTATTTCAATGAATCTGACACAGGGTCATGCTTTGATTTAGTTATCATGTCTGTGTACTCTCATTCAATCTGTAAGAGTTTCTTCACTGAAAAAAAATCTTTTATGATTCTAGTATTTTTGGAGTGTATAGGCCAGTTATTTTGTAAAGTGTCCCCCAATTTGGATTGTATAATCTGTCCCCATGATCAGATTCGGGTTATGTATTTTGGCAGAAATGCCACAGAAGTGATACTGTGTCCGTCTCAGTGCATCACATCAGTAGGCATAGAGTCAATTTATCTCATTATTGGTGATGTTAAATTTGAACCTTTGGTTAAAGCAGAGTCAGCCAAGTGTCTCCACTATAAAGTTAATGTTTTTGCGCCTGGGATCCGAACCAGCGAACCTGGGCCACCAAAGCAGAGCCTGCAAACTTGACTGCTACGCCACTGTGCTGGCCCCCAAACCTGGATTATTTTGAAGAAAACCTCAGACATCATATAGGAACTGTAATTTTCAAACTGTTACCACTTGCAATAGACACAACTAAATATCAGTTACCTAGGAATAAATCTAGCAAAAGAGGTACAGTACCTTCACAAAGAAAATTATAAAATTTTATTGCGAGACGTTAAAAAAGGCCTAAGTGTAAAAACATATACTATTCATGAATAGGGAGTCTCAATATCAGAAAAAGACATATCGATATTCCCCCAAATAACTTTTAAATTCAATGTAATTCCAACCCAATCAAAATCTCAGCAGCATTTTATTCAAATTTAGAAGTTTTCAAATTTAATTGGAAGAGCAAAGGGGCACGCAGAGCCAAAAGAATTCTGAAGAACAAGGGGAGGGAAACGTGGCTCCCTAAGTGGAAACACTTGCTATAAAACTGTGCTGATGTAAACCAATAGATGCAAACCAAAGATAGACAAACAGATGTGAAGAAAGAGTGGAGAGCTGAGACGTGGAAACTTCATACGTAGAGGTATCATAACAAGGTAGAGGGGAAATGATCCAATAACAGTGATAGGACAACCTTTTTATTTCTTTTGGTGAGAAAGGTTGGCCCTGAGCTAACATCTGTTGGCAATCTTCCTCTTTTTGCCTGAGGAAGATTGTCCCTAAGCTAGCATCTGTTCCAATCTTCCTTCATTTTGTGTGTGGGCCCTGCCACAGCATGGCTTAATGAGTAGTGTGTAGGTCTGTGCCTGGGATCCAAACCCGTGAACCCTGGGATGCTGAAGCAGAATGGGTGAACTTAATCACTATGCCACTGGGCTTGGCCCCTGTTTTTTCTTGTGGACATTAATAAAACTAGATACCTACCCCATCCCACACACAAAAATGAATTCCAGAGGAACAAATACTTAAATGTGAAAAGCAAAACTTTAAAACTGTTGAGGGTATTATAGTGAGTGAAATAAGCCAGACAGAGAAAGACGAACTCTGTATGACTCCACTCATAGGTGGATGTTAACATGTAGACAAAGAGAACTGATCGGTGGTTACCAGGGTAAAGGGGGGTTGGGGAGGGCACAAAGGGTGAAGTGGTGCACCTACAACATGACTGACAATAATGTACAACTGAAATTTCACAAGGTGGTCAACTATCATAATCTTAAAAAAAAGACCTCTAAAAATAAAACATTGAGAACATATTTATGTCTTTAGGATAGGGAAGACTCTTTAAAGAAGATACACACAAAAACACGATCATAAAGGGAGAGTATTAAGTCTGACTACAATAAAATTGAGGACTTCTCTGTATCAAACACACCTTACGTAGGTCAAAAGACAAGCCGCCAACAGGGAGATATATTTGTGTCACAGACAACCACAGTTTTCTTTTTAAATTTTTAAATTTTCTAATTGTTTTATTGAGAAATAATTGGCACACATCACTGTATAAGTTTAAGTCGTACAACATGATGGTGTGACTTGCGTATATTATGAAATGATTACCACAATAGGTTTAGTTAATGTCTAGCATCTCATGTAGATATAATAAAAAGAAAAGAAAAAAAATTCTTTGGGGCCAGCCCAGTAGCCTAGTGGTTAAGTTCAGTGCGCTCCCTTCAGTGGCCTGGGTTCACTTCCTGGATATGGACCTACACCACTCCTTGGTGGCCACATTGTGGTGGTGACTCACATACAAAATAGAGGAAGATTGGCACAGATGTTAGCTCAGGGCAATCTTCTTCATGAAAAAAAATCTGATGATGATAACTCTTAGGGCCTACTTTCTTAACAACTTTCCCAAATATCCTACAGCTGTGTTACTATAGTCCTTATTGTGTATGTTACATCCCTAGTACTTATTGACTATCTTCCTCTAACTCCTCCTCCCCTAACCCGCACCTCCTCCATCTGGCAACTACAAATGTGATCTCTTTTCCTATGAGTTTGCTGGTTATTTTTTTTAGATTCCACATAAGTGAAATCATATGGTATTTGTCTTTCTGCGTCTGACTGACTTCCCTTAGCATAACGCCCTTCAGGTCCAACCATGTTGTCACAAATGACAGGATTTCCTTGTTTTTTATGGCTGAATAATATTCCTTTGTACATCTATACCGTAACTTCTGTATCCATTCATCCATCGGTGGACACTTAGGTTGTTTTTTCCACGTCTTGGTAATTCAACATAATGCTGCTATGAACATGGGGGTCCAGATATCTTCTCGAGTTAGTGTTTTTGTTTCCTTTGGATATATTCCCAGAAGTAGAATTGCTGGATCATGTGGTAGTTCTCTTTTTAATATTTTGTGGAACCTCCATAATGGCTGTACCAATTTAAAATCCCACCAATGGTGCATAAGGGTTCTCTTCTCTCCACATCCTTGCCAGCAGTTGTTATCTGTTGTCTTTTTGATGATGGCCATTCTAACAGGTGTGGGGTGATATCTCATTATGGTTTTAATTTGCATTTCTATAATGACTAGTGATATTGAGCATCTTTTCACGTTCCTGTTGGCCATTCATATATTTTCTTTGGAAAAATGTGTATTCAGGTCCCTTGCCCATTTTTTAATTAGATTAGTTTTTTGCTATTGAGTTACATGAATTATTTATATATTTTGGATATTAACCCCTTATCAGATATATAATTTGAAAATATTTTTTCCCATTCTGTATGTTGTCTTTTCACTTTGTTGGTTGTTTCTTTTGCTGTGCAGAAGCTTTTTCGTTTGATGTAGTCCCACTTGTTTATTTTTCATTTTGTTACTTGTGCTTTGGAAGTGATTTCCAAAAAGTCATTACCAAGACCCATGTCAAGGAGCTGTTTTCCTATTTCTTCTAGGAGTTTCATGGCTTCAGGTCTTACATTTAAGTCTTTAATCCATCTTGACTTAATTTTTGTAGGTGATATTAAGATAAGGGTCAAGTTTCATTCTTTTACGTACGAATATCCAGTTTTCTCAGCACCCTTTATTGAAGAGAATGTCTTTTCTCCATTGAGTATTTTTGGCTGCTTGTAAACATTAGTTGATGATATATGTTTGGGTTTATTTCTGGGCTCTCGATTCTGTTCCATTGGTCTATTTGTCTGTTTTTATGCCAGTACCATACTGTTTTAATTACTATCATTTATATATGTATTTATATATGTATTTATAGTACATATATATATTTATAGTACAGCTTGAAATCAGGAAGTGGGGTGCCTCCTGCTTTGTTCTTCTTTCTCAGTATTTCTTTGGCTATTTGGGGTATTTTTGGTCCCATATAAATCACAAAGTTTTATTATTGAGAAATAGAAAGAACTCAAAATTTATAAGGAAAAGAAACAATGATAGAAAAAGGGACAGAGGAAAAGAAAATCTGAATGGCCAACAAACACACAAAATATGCTCCTTTTCACCAGAAATCAGAGGAATGCAAAGTAAAACCACAGTGTGATAGAATTTCACATCCATAATTTGTCCAAAATTAAAAAGTCAGCCAATACCAAGACTGAAGCTGTAGATCAATGGGAGATCCTACACTTCTGGTGCAAGAGTAAATTTGTACATCTGCTTTGGTGAGCAATGTGGGAAATATCTGATAAAGTTGAAATGCATTTGCCTTATGACCAAACAATTCCACTCCCAGATACAGATCATGAATATAGTACATGTACACAAGAAGACCTTTTAAAGACTGTTCATTGCTCTATTGTTTGAATCATGATAAAGTGGAAACAACTCATCTGTCCATTCACAGAAGAATAGGTAAATTGTAGTATGTTCACACAATGGTAGCGTGATCACTCTATCTATCTATCTATCTATCTATCTAATCTATCATCTATCTGTCTATCCATCAATCCATCCATCCGTCTATCTGATTGTTAATATGAATGAAGTTAAACTACATGTATCAACGTGGTTTGATTTTAAGAACATAATGAGTGCAAAAAATAAGTTGCAGAAGATATGAATAGTGGTAGAATATCTTTTGTTTGAAGTGTTAAAACTTGCAGAAAGTGCTATATATTGTTTATGGATATATATGTATATAGTGAAAGTACTGAAGTGTTTATGAGAACGAT